TTTAAAAAAAAAAAAAAGAAAAAGAAAAGAAAAGAGAAGAAAAGCATGAGAGAACATATTTTGCAAGCTGCTACATTATACATGCATCCGCAGTGCATCTCGTCTTTTTGGAGGCTGAGAGGAAGATGTTGAGAAGCAGAACTGCTGGGTAAGCCCTGCATAAGCAGAGTGCTGGTTTTCAAAACCCGTGGAGCGTTTCCAGAGCCCCACGCGGCTTTCACCAGGACCCCAAGCAGGAACCCCTCCTCCTCTCCTCGGCCACCGCAACTAGCATTGAGCCCAACAGAGCCACGGCGGTTCTTCTTAAGTCTAAGCAAGAATAAGGATTTTTATCTGATTTTTTTTTTCCCCTTCAAAAATGACTGAATGATTTATTTTTTTTTTTTACATTTTCCAAGTTCTGGGTTCCATATTTGCAAAATCTGAATGCTTCCAGAAACTAAAGCAGTTGAAAACGAGCGGCTTTAAGAGTAAAGCTAAGATAGTCTTAAGCATGGCTTTGCTAGTGCTGCCCCATGGATTTAGGTATTTATAGCCTGGTTACAGCTCATCGGTGTAAATGACAAATTTTGTTGGGTTTTCAACCTCTGCTTGTAGGTTTGATGGAAAGATTTGACCATGAAGTGGAAGAGCAGCAGCTTTTAAAACAGAAAAGATGTAGCCGAGCCCGGGAGAGACACCACTGTGAGGCTAGTGGTAATCAAAGCATTTTACTTTCAGATTCAATTTGGTGTTGCAGATGAACTCGCTTCTCCACTTACAGCAACCACCCCGCTGTGAATATGAAATTAAATGTTGGTGTAGATTTAAATCCAATCTCCCAAATTCCCAACACGAGGACTACATTTAGGAAACTAATGAGGGTTTGTTTTTTACAGTTTTGAAATTGCTTTAGCCAATCTGCGAACTCTTTCCCGCAGGTCACAAAGTGGGATGAGGGTAAACAGGTTAAGGAGAGCATTCAACAAGGAGCAGGTACTCCTCAACCTCAGACCACCATCAGCAAAGAGAGCTTAATGGGCTTAACTCCACGGGGCTGGCCAAAGAACACTGAATATCGAGGCAAATTCATCCCTGTGAAAACAACTGCAGGAGTATTATCATTATTATTATTATTATTATCATCATCATCATCATCATCACCCTGCCTACAGCCTGAGTCACATATCTGGGATCTACGACGCTGATGCTGTACAAACACGGAGTCAGGTGGGATTCATTACACCCGATGTGGTACCTCCAGATGGGCCTCTGCAGCTCAGGGTAGAGAAATGAGCCTTTTTAAGGGTTTTTATTCTCCTCCCAAGACAGCCATTTGTGGGTGCTCATGTGGAACAGCCCCAGCGGTGCCCATTCAATCCTGCTGACTGCCAAAGGGGTCTGGGGACGCAGCTCAGATGAAGATATCTACACTGGTGATGTCTCAACTAAAGCAAGACAAGTGCTCCTCCTCACAGCTGGGAGCTCCGGGTGTGGATTTGCCATACCGGTTTCAGGGCAGTACTGGTTTGGAATATTCACAGAATCCCAGAATCATCGAGGTTGGAAAAGCCCTTGCAGCTCCTCCAGCCCCACCATGACCCTCCCCCTGACCGTTCCCAACTCCCCCAGATCCCTCAGCGCTGGCTCAGCCCAACTCTTCAACCCCTCCAGGGATCCCGGGGACTCCCCCCTGCCCTGGGCAGCCCATTCCAACGCCCAACAGCCCCTTCTGCACAGAAATCCTTCCTCAGAGCCAGCCTGACCCTGCCCTGGGCAGCTTGAGGCCATTCCCTCGGGGCCTGGCGCTGGCTCCTTGGCTCCAGAGACTCATCCCCCCTCTCTGCCCCCTCCTGGCAGGGAGTTTCAGAGGGCCAGGAGGTCTCCCCTCAGCCTCCTCTTCTCCAGACTAAAAAAAATATTCCTGTGCTATGACACAGATTAGGGGACAATTCCATCTTTTTCAAATTGCCTGGTTTTTAAGGTTTCTCTCTCCAGAGCACGTCCTTGATCTGGCTGACAGAGCACCCCCCAAGGTGGGCACGGGGGATACATTACACCGTGACTGCTGATGTCCCGCAGCATGAAACCAGGGCCAAGCACTGTCAATGGGAGCGTAACCTTACTATTGCTCTACTACACCTCCAGCAGCACTCTGCCCTGACTCCCTCCCTCTTCTTCAAGTGTCAAGAATTCCTGCTATTTATTTTGCTACCAGTTTTGTTTTCAGCATCAACAACCTTATCTCGGCAGAAGGACAGTCTGCGGTGTTGCCGTGCTTGAAGCCGTTCCATCAGACACCGTCACAGGTCACTATGGAATAATAAAGCAAGATTTCTGTTTCCTTTTCTTTTCCTCCTTGTCTCAAAAAAGTTCTGAACTCATGTCCACCAGGGCATGAATGTTAAAAGAACAGGAATTTTGGAAAAAAAATCCCAGCTTTATTTTGAAAAAAAACCTTTTTTTTTCTTTCTTTCTTTATAACTATTAAGGTATTTGAAGCCTGAGAAATGGCTTTTAAAGGTCTGAAGTTGGCAACGACTGAGCCATTTGATGGAGGTCTTACCCTATACCTCTTAAACCAGTTCTAGAGCAGTAAGTACACCAGCAGCTCAAGAAGTTATTTCACTTAATTTTGATAAGGACCTTTTATAAAAGTAACGGAGTATTAGGAGTCCAGCGAGCAAGGTGGACATCGGTTGGCAGATGACAACACCTAAACATCACTAAGCAGCTCTCTAGACTTTATTAATTGTGCTGGTGAGATTTCCACTGATTTAAGGGATTCAACTTTCCCAGGTTCCTGTAGCACTGGCGCAACCCTGACCACTGCAGTTGGAGCTGGCTGCCCCAAGTGACTTGGAAAGTCAACTTGGAAGGAGGAACTGGCTCCAAAGCAGCTTATCCTTCAGCCCTCAAATCACCAGATTGCCGAATTAGAACACTAATTGGATCTGATGAGTCCCATACAGACAAACTGAAGAAAAGAGCATTAGGAGAAGGAAGGAAAAAAATCATTCATTAGGGCTGAGAGGTGAAGATGGAGGCAGAGAGATGGAAAACTGGGCTGTTTACCAACTGGAGCTTTACCAAGTCAAGGAGAACAGAATGGAGGAGTCTAAGGGAAGGGAAAGCTATAACAATCCAAGTGGAGAAGGAAGTTAAGAGGGAAGCAAGAGTAAGGAAAGGAAGAAATTTGAGTCACACCCAAGATGACTGCGGAAGAGATGACCGCAGTCGCCCCATAGTTGGAAGAAAATGGTGTCATCTTGAGAAACAAGCAAGACTGTAGGAGAGGTATGAGGAGGAAAAGAGGGGATAAATGCTGATAATGAGAGAAACTTGATCTGGCAGATGCTGGAGAAAGGAGGATGGCAGCGGCCATGCCCAGGACAACAGGCTGGATCCTGCACAGAGGCAACACCACACCTGGGCGCTGCGGGGCTGGGCTGGGGTGGAGGGAAAGGGCACGGGTGAGAACAAAGTTGGTGGAAACAAAGACACACCGGTGAAACGAGAGAGAAAATGCTGCAGAGAAGAATGAGGGGTTTGGAAGGCGGCAAGCGGCGAGGACCTGGCTGTTGCCATGTGCTCCTGAGCCCAGAGGCAGGGTGAGGGGCACTGGGGTGCCCATCTTTGCCTCTGCTACGCCAGAGGCTCGAGGAGGAATCCCCAGGCTGGGTTTCCAGTCTGAGTGATCATACCACGCTCTTCTGGTGTCTTCTGCTATCTGGACTTGGTCTCTGTGAACCATTAGAGAAGAGTTGGTGCAGGAAGGGGAGCTTTTGAGCACAGGTATCCAGATTTTAGAGACAGGCACCGCTCCATTAAAAAACTTTAAGCAGCAAA